ACCCCACAGAGACAGACACGCAGGCAGAGACAAGCAGACACAGAGACACACACAGACTGACACCTACCTCAACAGGTAAGTGTGTGTGGGGGGAAGGGGCGGGGCAGGCGAAAGGGAAGGTGCTGAGGGGGTAGCTCAAGAAGCAGGGAAGTGTGCCCCTGTACCCACTCCCAGGAGCATGGCTAGGGGGTGAGGCCAGGGGTGCCACACTATGGGCCACATGTGCTGGCTGGCCTGACGGGGTTCTTGCACACGGAGGCTGCCACTGCAGTTATGCCACTGCACCCTGTGCTACCATCCCACAGCCACCTGCAGGCTTTGTGGGCAAGTGGAGCAAGGCACAGCAGCCACCATATGTGGGCCACATATGTGCCACCCAGCCGGGGGATGGAAAGGGGGCTTGCAATGCAGCAGCCGCCACTGCACCGCTACTTATGCCCCGTGACCGGCTGCACAGCTTTGCAGTGGTGTGGGGTGGTGGCAGCTGTGTGGTGGCTGGGGGAGGCTTTGCAGGCAAGCGCTGCCACCACAGAGCCATTCCCTTCGCCCCTGGAACCTAGAGGCAAGGGGCTTGGGGGCTGAGGGAGCGGGGAGTGCTGCCAGCCTCAGGTGGCACACCACAGCTGGGAGCAAGGACAGGGGGTGAGGGCAGCAGCGTCCCTCTCTGGGGGGCTTTGTGGGCAAGCGATGCAGGGTGCAATGTGGTGGTACCCGCCGTGTGTGGGGCGCACACATGCCGCCTGCCCAGGGGAGGGGGAGGAGGCTGGCTTGCAGCTGGCTGCACAGCTCCATGGCTGGCTCTGCAGAGACAGCGAGGGATGGGCCTGCACGCGGTTGCTGCTGCTGCTTACCTGGAGGGCCATGCCAGCGGCGAGTGCCGCTGCCTACAAAACCTCCCTGCATCGCCACAGAGCTGTGCCCGGAGCTGTGTGGCCGGGCACAGAGCAGCAGCATGGTGGCGGCTGGGTGGCATGCAGCCATCCCCACCACCAATCCACACCATGCAACGGTCATGGCTGCCACCAGACTGCTGCTGCTGCCCAACGACCAACCCTACAGCTCCGAGCACGGCTCCACGGCAGCAACAGGAGGTTTTGTATGCAGCGGCTGTCACCG